GAAATAAAAGACCCCATTAAAGAACAAGATCGCATTTCTTACCTTCCTTGAAGGCAATTGTAAAGATTAATCGAATCATCGGCTGAAGCAGTTACGCAAAACTCGCCTGTGTTATCAAAGTCTAAAGAGGTAATTGGCTGTGAATTCTCATAAAAATTTTTCGCAGCTTTAAGCTTGAGAAGGTGATCAACTTTGAGGGTAACGAGTTCTTGTTGAGATTCCATCAGACGGAAAGAAATCATTCGGAAAATATTCACTTTTATTGGTCAATTGAAAAATACTGTTACACGAACTTTGATCGCTGGCGTCGATCATGTGTAACCATAAACCGAGTGCAGATAATTCGCTAACACTAAATCGAGTTTCTTGTTAAATGGCCTTTTTAGCAGAACCTGTCAAATCAAAACTTTATATTTCTTCTTCTACTACTACATTACCAAAGTCGCGGCATGTGCAGATCATTGAGGGTCATCCTCTTAACCACCGTGTTGAACTTTTAGTTCCTAGTCTTTTGTCGCCTCAACAGGAAAAAAATTTTTTAAAAGAGGCTATTTATTATAAAGCCGATATCCCTTTATCTTACTTTATCGAGCGCTCTTTTATACAAGACTATTTACAAAAAGGTAATGAGATAACATACACATTTATCTCAAAGCCTGAGTATAGTCTTAATTTATTTCTCCGTATTTCATTAAAGGACGTGTTGTTGCTCAAAGCTTGGGTGAGGGCATTGATGTATCAAATGTTATCGCTCTTGATGGATCAGGTCATTATATTATATTAATTAATCATAGCTAATGTCATTCGTATTATCACTGAAATATCGTAATAAATATTAATAAGCCTTTATCCGAATAGGAATCCTCATTCTAAATTTAACTAAAGATACTTATGAACAACTTGGGTTGCCTGGAAAACCTTCAAAGTTTGGGCCGAATAAGCAACGATTCGGTAACATTCTCATTATTTAATTATACAAAATTGCAAGTTATATTTAACATTTTATACATTATTCAGTTGTACAGATTAATTTACTTGAAAAATCGATGCTTCCCGGCAAGAAGGGCTTCGAACGTATTAAATGGTGTTTTAATAATACATTAAGCGAACCATTTCCATTTATAATTTCTTATGTAGACTTTGGTAATAATTTTTGATGCGTACGTAGTTTAGAGTGTCAAATTCATTTTTCTGACACATGCTCAAAAATAGCAACGCAAGAAACACAGAAAATAACATTTCCACCAACATTTAACGCTAAGGAATTTACAATTGAAATGGAATTTGAAAAGTTGAATAATATTAATTTTCCGGACATGGAAATAATAAAGACAATATCTCAGGAGAGTAAATGGAAGTCAGATGCTATAGAGATTTATGATTGGATCGGAATGGCATCACTTCGAACGCAAAGGTAATTATCGTATGTTGTGAGTAAGGCTGCACCAAATGACGGGTTCTTAATAAGATTAAGAAAAATTATTGTAATGTAGATAAATTTTGATAGAATCGGTTATAGAAAATTAATTCATATGGGCTGTGTGCTGAGAAAAGGGACCAAATTGATTTTTTTTTTTTTGAAAAAAGTTCTTAAGTAAAATAGGTGTAGATTTGATCATCTGATCCAGAACATTTGTTATTTTCAAAAAAATTTTTTTGT